CTTAATTTATATTTAACAAAAAAATATATATTATGCTATAAATATGAAAAATTCTATATTTTTATAATTTTATTTATACAATAATATGGGTCAAATCAAAACAAATCGCGACTCGTGACCCGCATGGGCTCGACAGGATGGGTTAGGGAGCGGGCTTGGGTTGTAGTTCAAAATTTGTGAGCCGACCCGGAATTGGCCAGAACCCGTAGCGAGCGGGCTTTTTTTCACGTGGGCCGTTACCGAGCTCTTATGTTGGCTAGTCGACTCGACCCGGACCACCGGATTGACACATTTAGATCGGGCTATGGGTCTGCCTCATCCCCCGTACATCCATTCATGATCGAGACATTTACCCGGGCAAATCTTACAATTTAACAAGATATTTTACGAGATTTGTATTAACTGGGATTCAATCACCACGATTTTCCCTCGCATGTGTTCTTGGACAATGAACAAAACGTTGATAGACCAGAAGTGCACTGTAAACAAAGCACCGTTACGTACTTATGATATATATTACTGATGCGTCGTACTTATGATAACACATTTCTTGTTTATAGAGGCAAGAAAAATCGTCTTGCTTACTTGATTACCGTGAAGAATTTAAAAAAACACATCAAAACTGCTATACTGCTTGACATGCAAACTCACAATAAGGGAGCAATTTTTTGAAGTTTTTTATTCACATGGGTCCCAGTCGAGTCTCTCTCCTATTAAGTGTATGTCAATCAAGGCGGTAAATTTTTTTCTAGCAAAAAAGAATAATTTGAAACAAAAAACATTTATTATATTTAGTTAGCTACAAATAATTTTCACTCTTTTTTACAGTACGACTTTTTAATATTTTAAATTTTTTTAAAATTTTTATAATGCATATCACTTATTTGTTGCTGAAGAACTTCAGAGTTAAGCATAGTTTGAGTTGCAAGAAAGAAGACAATAATATTTCGGACAAGAAGGCGGGCAGGCCAATTAATTGGAACCCTTAAAATAATCAGCTTTCAGTCAATAATGTTAGCCTTTTAAAAGGACACAGCATATGGACTTGTCCATTTAATCCCTGTTCATAGTTTAATTTACACAGGAAAATTCTCCTCGTTCGGTTGCCAGCCTTAATTCTATTGATGTCGTGTATTTACTTTTCTCTCACAAATTGTGAAGGAAAAATATTTAAAATCAAAATATCTTAATTTTCAACTCCATCGGAGTCCAATAGAGTAATGCATGATATACTCCAATGGAGTAATGTATGATATGAATCATACTCTTTCAATCAAAGAAATATTTCAATGATTCCCATGTTTGTAATTAGGACGGATTTCTAGCATTTCACATGGTGTGGATATGGGAGGGTAAAATCATCAACTCACCAAATATTTCTATCAAATTCAACTGAAGATAATTATATTCACACTACAATTTTTCTTTGTTGCACCATATTTTTATTGCAATAAAGGTCTTCAACTTTTGCTTATTATTGTATTTATTTTCTCAAGTTTTTTCATTGCATTCACATATTGCTACTCACAATCGTGCTCAGCGATCATCGACGATATTTAAATAAGTTAATGACTCAAAACCTCACATTTAAAGATTAATGACTCATAACCACTCATCATGTAAAAAAGCTTAGAGAGATCATTCCCAATTTTCACAATTGTGAAATACAATACTCACATATTTAGAAAAATTGGTACTAATTTAAGAGTATTGCTACTCGCAATCGTGCTTAGCAATCATCGACGATAAGACATTAATTGATTTAACGTCTTATATATGATATTTAAAATACA